AATAATATACAACAACAAGATATTGTGTTGACTACATATCAGACTGTTACTACAGATAGTAAGGTATGGATTTAAACTAAAATAAATAAATAAATAATATAATAATATACAACAACAGGATATTGTGTTGACTACATATCAGACTGTTACTACAGATAGTAAGGTATGGATTTAAACTAAAATAAATAATATAATATAATAATATACAACAACAGGATATTGTGTTGACTACATATCAGACTGTTACTACAGATAGTAAGGTATGGATTTAAACTAAACTAAGTAAATAAATAAATAAAACTCTGATAGAAAGGTATGAAATAGTGCTCAGAAAAAAATATAATAAAACGACACTTTTCCAATTTTGTGATGGTGACAATTTAGGTTTGATCCTAAGATAATAGAAATTACAGTTTTGATCTGATAAATATTGCAGTTTTCGTGCATTTGAATTAATAGTAATAAAATATTTTATTTTGTCCTTAAACATTAAAAAAGGAGACTTAACATTATAAGACTATCTTGACACAAGCTTGTAACGGACTATACAGAAGAAAGAAAGGATTTAAAAATATGTATACACTACATTAAATACACAATTTAAAAGCAATTGAAGGATTTAAAAATTATACGGTAAAGTTTTGAAAATTTCATCGCTTAAAAATTAATTAATATTTTTAATTGTGTAAATCCGACTAATTTTTCAAAATTACCTCTCCCCGACTCCTGGGTATGACGAAATTTTCAAAAATCCGGTCTTTTGGCTTTTATCCTTAGCGGCTGTTATCTTTGACCCTCCTATATTGTGGGTTATTTATTACTACTTCCTAAGTCCTTTTCTGGTGGTAAATAATAATCTATTTATTATTGCATCTCGATTAAGTTAATTTTAACTTACAGTACCCGAAAACGTGTTGAGAATTATCTTCTCGGTAAGAAACATACCTCCTGATAGAAGAGAAGGATCAAGATAAGCCTAATTGCCTCCTTGCATTATAACCTGGCCGCGACATATTCAAAAAAAAAAATTACGCACTTGGCCACGTTTGTTGCATGCAGGGCTTTTTCCAGGATTGAATGTCAGGCCTTCTAAAACTACCATCTGTAACTTCCTAAAAATTTACAGGGAGTTAAAATAATTGCTCCCGCTGACGATCTTCCGCAATTTAAGTTCCTTAAACTAATATGAAACCTGCATTTTATTATTGCTTACATCGCGAACGATCTCCCGATGATTATATGAAAATTGCCTTTTCGTCTCGCTCGGATCGCGAACTATCTCCCTCTGACGATCTTACGCGAACATAGTCCTGGCGATATTATGCAAACGATTCTTCGCCGAAGATACATGTATGCCGTGAGCGGGGATGGGGGGGGGGGTGTTTAAGATAAAATTNACGAAGTTCCCTAAATCCCTTGAACTAATATGAAAATTGCATTTCATTCTTGCTTACATCGCGAACGATCTCCCGATGATGATTTTACGCGAACAAATACATGAAGATATTACGCAAACGATTCTCCGCCGAAGATATGCGGTGAGCGGGGAAGGGGGGTTAAAGATAAAACTAAACATATATATAAATTATAATATTCAAAGGGGGAGGGGGGTTAAAATAATGATCTCCCGCTGACTATCATTCTCAAACTAAATTCCTTGAACTAATATGAAAACTGCATTTTATTATTGCCTACATCTTGAACAATTTCCCGACGATGATATGAAAATTGCCTTTACGTCAAGCTTGGATCGCGAACGATCTCCCTCTGATATGATCTTACGCGAACAAAGTCCTGAGGATATTACGCGAACGATTCTCCGCTGAAGATATACCATGAGCGGGGGAGGGGGGCTGTTTAAAAATAAAATGAAAATGAATTTTTTTAAAATCCAAAGTGTGTGTGTGTCTGGGAGGGGTGGGGTGAAATAATGATCTCCCGCTGACAATCTTCCGCGAACAAAGTTCCCTTAATCCCTTGAACTAATATAAAAATTGCATTTCATTCTTGCTTACATTGCAAACGATCTCGCGATGATGATCTTTTCTCCGCCGAAGATATGCCGAGAGCGGGGAAGGGGGGGGTTAAAGATAAAATGAAAATATATATATTACTTATATAGGGGGAGGGTTAGAATAGTGATCTCCCACTGACGATCTTTTGCAAATTTAGTTCCTTGCACTAATTTGAAAATTGCATTTCGTTCTTGCTTACATCGCGAACGATCTTCCGATGATGACATGAAAATTGCCTTTACGGCTCGCTCGGATCGCGAACGATCTCCCTCTGACGATCCGTGAGCGGGAGAAGGGGGGGAGTTAAAGATAAAAGGAAAAATATGTTATTTATAAAATTCAAAGGGGGGGATTAAAATAATGATCTCCTGCTGATGATCTTCCACGAACGAAGTTCCCTTGAACTAATATGAAAAGTGCATTTTATTCTCGCTTACATCGCGAACGATCTCCCGGTGAAGACATGAAGATTGCCTTTTCGTCTCTCTGGAATCGCAAACGATTTCCCGCTGATGATCTTATGCGAGTCCGCTACAAATATGAAAATTATCTTCTCGTCTCGTTTGGATCGCGAACAATCTGTTGACGATATTACGCGAAAGAATTCTCTGCTGAAGATATGAAAATTGCCATCTCGTCCCATTCGCATTGTGAACGATCTCCATGTACGAGAAAGGTAATCGTCAAATGGTCCTAAATTGAACATGGACATGAATAGAAGTGATGGGTACATTTCCCTTCGAGATAATATCTTGATTTTTTCATTGTGTCTTCCTCATTTAGGACAGCCACGGCGTTACAAATGACAAAGCCGCGGCCTGTGACTTTTATTTGCCGGCTTGATAACGCACCTTGAGCCAGGAAATAGTAATGAAACAATGTAGACAAAAGGCCGATGTTCCCGCAACTAAGAACGGGAATTCACATCTTAACCACCTATATTGTGAGTAACAGCTCGCAGGGGCGCACTATTGTTCCTATCTCCCACTGAGAGTGTTATCGGCAATGATATCCTGATCGTATCATTGTCTTGAATCAACTGACGCATTACCTTCATGTTTGAGCTGGACAACGCGGCCATATTTGGTGACGAACTTTTCAAAAATTATCGAGTACCTCATTTTCAAGGTCGACGAAGTTTTCAAAGGGAAAAAAATTACCTCGGCGGAAAATCGTCTGCCGACGAAATTTTCAAGACTTTACCGTAGTGTTTAAATTTACAAATTATTTGTTAGTTTTTTCTGTACTTATGTCTATAATTGGGTATTAACTATTTGTATATTTCTAGGGGAAGAATATTCTGGGTAAAGTGAAGTGGTTGAGGGTGGTGTTAGATGAAGGTCACACTATCAGGAATCCTAACACACAGATGACCAAGGCTGTTCTTGGGCTACAGACACAGAGGAAGTGGGTTTTAACAGGTCAGGTTG